TAATAATAAATGGAGAAATTTCTATTTTTTTCTCTGTTTAAATAATTTCTATGTGCAGCCCCAGTTTGCTTGAAGCGTAGGATGGGCAGGTTACCCCATTGGTAATTACAGTGCGGAGACTTTTCAGTTTCTAATTTTAGGTGTGGTTTTGGATTGGTACTGTTGTAGCATATATAGTACAGTAAATATTCAGTAAATTTGAACATAACAATTATAATATTTCCCGAAAATCTGTTTTATGAATGATTTATGTAACTAAAATATTTGTGAATTAAATATCAATCAATAAAATGTAAAAGCAAAGCAAAGAAAGTAAAAATTAAAGAAGAGATTATAGAATGAGAGAATAACTCAGATGTCTGGGATATGTGAGTTACTATCATTACAGTAAATACTCCAGTTTTCTACTTTTTCTTAATAAATTTAGGTGTTTGGAATATGAGAGCTACTGCTATTATATATACCTTTTAATTAGTTCTTTACTTTTGGGTGAATAAGAAAAGTCAAATGTTTGGAATATGTGAGTTACTACCGTAAACAATACTGATATCTACTTTTGAGTGATGGTTATTGATATAACAGTAAGTTAATATGTAATTTATCGTTCTTTAACTGACCATTTGACAGGTCAGGAAATTACATTACCCACCCCTTTTTTCCATTGACAGGCAAATTTAGCAAGGTGTGGCTTTACATAATTACTGGTACCATTGAACGGACAGAATCCAGAATGAGTTGAATTGGCATTTTGAGAATTAAATTAGGCAGTGGGAGGGAGTTGGCAGCATTGTTGCCTTAGTAAAAGAGAGGTGACGAAATGACCCAGAATCATTGCCGTGTATATTTAGTGCTATAAAAAGGGGTTTGGTGTTGTGTGGAAGGCAGTTTGAATATAAGTAACACGTGTGTAAAGAGTTCTAGTCTGACTGATAGTGTATGAACACAGCTATATATCATGCCATCTGCCAGTTGTAGAAGGATATCTTTGGGTAAGATTTTTTAAAATATATATACTAGTAATCAGAATTTCTTTGAATTATAATAACATTGTTTTCTTGTAATGGAAGCAAAATTTATATATTTTTGCACATTCACAGGATGTTATGATAAAAAAGCAGGAATAAACCTTAAGATAAATAAGAATGTTAATATAAATCACAGTGGTTTATAAATTGCATTCAGTTTAAGCGACTTAAATGTCTGTCATGTCCATTGAAGCTGCTAGGGGGGTAATTTACTTTCGTGCATGCTCAAACTGAGTGCAGTTTAGGGAGAATGCTCTCGGAGATAGATTGATCCTGCTAGCATGATAGAGTTATGGGGGTGGCTCTTTAACTGTAATGACTTAATGTTCATGTACATGATAGATTTAACTTTAAAATGTGAAACTACCAGTATACCCATTACATAGAATGCTTGCCTGTTATCAGGTGTCCATGAACAACAATCCCAGTATGTTAAGTGAAATACTTGTGGTTAGATATTCCATATTAATTTTCTTACAATGTAGCACTTATGACATATTTGTGGCTGAGACTTCCACATTTAGATTGCTTAATATACATGTACTATTAAAGAGAGAGTGGATATTTAACCAGTGCTTCCTGTGTTGAATAACAGTTCAAGTCAAGTTTCCTGGCTCAGGTATATCTAGATTTTTAATATTTTGTTTACTGCAGTTGGTGGATTGCTTTAGATGTGCATTGTTCAACACATAAGTATGGTTTTTATGCACTTTTCATGCGTAGTTTCTTTTGATCATGCCAAGCATTAAAGTCATGCTTTAGGTTGAAAAATTGTACACCAAATGCTTTAAGGAATGCTCTTACACTTGTAGATGTATACACATGTATGAGCATAAATGTAAATCTGTTATTTATTGGGCACCTTTACATGGCATGTAGTCAAGGGCTGAAAATATTGACTGGTCATATACCACTGTATGCTGTCAAACTTAAACTACAGGTGAAATATAATTATAATAGCCATTAGTTTAAGATACTTGGTTTTAAATTAGTATAAACGTGTACAACATGTAAAAAAAAATTATGGGAGTAAGAATTGAGAAATAATTGCTAAGGTACTCTGCATGTTAGTATGCACCCTTTGCTGGGGCTCATCTGAATAAATATGAATTATATTTTCTCATGTCCAGGTCATATAGTCCTAAATTGTTATGACCTCATATGACCTATGGCCAGCTGGTATATACTGTCGTTTATGGTCTGCATCAATCAAATCAACTGACCCCTAGAGTGACCTCGCACTAGACCAGATGACCCATTTGTTTAAACTGTCAGAAATGACGTATCATTTAAGGTTAGGATCGTACGGCTCAAGTTACGAGTTTGGCTAGAATCCCTGGTTTGAGTATTGCTTTCGGCTATAGTAAAATGTTTGACATATTTGGGAAAAACGGGGTTTGCTCTGAAGATCATCTTTATACCAAATTAATTATTATAAGGCACTGTAATGGCATGAAATATTAGTATAGTGCAATTGCTGTCTTTTGAAGGAAGCCTTGTCGATGTTTTGAGTATTTACTCAAGTTACGAGTTTGGCTAGAATCCCTGGTTCAAGTATTGCTCTCAGCTAAAGTAAAATGTTTGACATATTTGAGAAAAAAGGGTTTGCTCTGAAGATCATTTTTTTACCAAATTATTATAAGGCATTGTAATGGCATGAAATATTACTACAATGCAATTGCTCTCTTTTGAAGGTAGTCTTGTTGATATTTTGAGCATTTTCTCCAAATTGTCAACTTTACCAATTTGTTACAATTCAATTTCAATTCAATTTCAATTTATTTCTGTACTGGTACATAGATTGCCATGACCTTGTACAATATGATATACTAATGACGATACAATACAATTAGTGCATTACCATTTCTCTAGTTGGTATTATGTTGCCTAGCCATTTGTGAATGAAAAAAAAAATCTTTATATAATGAACATACATACTAATAAATTACTCATAAAATTTTCTATCTAAGCAATGAGATAAACTATGGTGTGATCATAAATTTACCATAAACATACTATAAACATGTTACACAAAAGGATATGTTTAAACTTAAAACCACAGTTACATAGCTGTTTACATGGCTGTTTAAAGCCAGTTTGATGACACAGATAATTACGATTAATGACAATTACATAAGACAGATAAGTAAATAAATTACACAGATATAAATATTGTGCCATGTTCAGTCCCACTGCCGAGTCACTTCTCACAACAGTGGGACCATACACTGACATTTTAAGGGATATGCTAAGAGTTACCAAGCAGAGCAACCACTTCACTTCTTTTCTTGAACGATTTGATTATAAAGTTGGAGAGGGACACTAAAGTATCTTTGTTGGCACTGTTAAATACATGGCATAATTGACTGTCTGGTGACCTTGTATCAGCTTTTAGGATTGAGGTTTTACTAAAAAAGGTGACTCGGTCTGCTTTGTACATTGGGCATTGGAATATAAAATGGTATTCATCTCCAATTACCCCTTGGGTGCATAGGCGACAGATTCTGTCACATTTAGACCAGAAGCATTAATTCAGCATGTTTTGCAATTCAGTATTGAAATTTTCAATATCTGATAATAACAAGCCTATGATAAAAAAAAATACTCATTATGAAAATTTAAGGGTGGATTCCTTTTGAGATTAAATTGTTATTGCTACAGACATATTTTTTTCCTGTCAAGCTCTCTAATTGTCAGTGACAGGTCAAAGCAAACTCATTATCACATATCGAAATTTTAAAAACATGATATTTAGCCTAATGGCTTGCCAGAATCATATTTCTTACCAAGCTTGATTGCTCTCTCTCTCTCTCTGGAAGTTTCTGATCAAAATAAATTCATTAATACTTAAAAATCTGAAAAGAAATATTTTCTTCTGCTCAAATTGCCACCCTTTTTTTCCTTAACGATGGCAGCCAGCTCCAAGTAGTTTGTTATTCATATGCTGCTGCTAATGGAAATTTGTAAATTGAAGACAACAGGAAGTCCCTGCGCAGAACTTACTAGGGGAGATGACAATAACGATGACGTGCAGTAGTACAGGTGTTATATGTAGATGTGATTGGCTGTAGCGTCTCACAGTAGTATTCGAAAGCTGAGACAAACACATTGCTGTGCCAGTGGATCAAATAGTACCGGGCTGTGTTTTGTGCAAAAGACAAACTGAATGGCATCAAAGCCTTGTAGAATACAGATCCAGAAGAGATTCTGAAACAGTTTATCAACCAGGGTTTATCTGCATAACTATTGCATCAGTTTTATCATTGATAATTATTTTTTTATGGAGTTTTGAATGAATTGACAATCAGTGACTGCATCCAGGTTGTTGCTTTAGCTTTTAAGTTAAGTTTTTAAAAACTGCATGAAATTTTGGAGAAGACAGACAGCATGCTAGATAAGGTATTTCCAGAGTTATGGAATCATGTTTATATAGGTAAGATAAAGTCTATTTGTCACCTGGCCCAAAGGAGATTTTTGTTGTTTTTTTAAAAAAGTTTTATTGAACTTTTCAAAAGAATTGTTTACGTGTGTGTGTGTGTGTATATATATATATATATATACTCTTGCAAACTGTTTGTTTGCTAGATTAAGTGTTTCCAAAGATATGGATTGAATCCTACAGGTTAGCTAGTACTTACCTGTACTATATCCCCATAAGACCTTTTAATATTGATGTATGTAACATATCAAATTTATGAATATTGGTCAAGTTTTTTATGCAGTCTGTATTAGTAGGACACTTCAAGTTAGTATTAATTTTAATTTTTTGTTTCTTCTTTCATTCTCTCTTTCATGTGCACACGTATGTGCATGTGTTTGTGCATGTGCATGCATGTGTTCATCCATCTACATCCATCCATTTGTTTGTCATTTTTTAAGTTCAGTCTTTATTAATAAGTTTTATTTACAAAATATTAATGTCTTTTTATGTACAGACACAGATGTGTCTGTACATATTGCATCANATATTTTTAGGGAACCAAGGCATTAAGAGACACATGTCCCTGCCCATCAAGGAGCGGACAGTGAACCCTTTCCCTGAACTCGTGGAGAGCCCCGTGCTGCCAAGCAGTGCGTACATAAACAACGTAATTTCTGGGTCATCGCCACGTTCGGGAATGGAATCGCCATTACTTGGCGGGTCATCACAGTCGTCCTCGCGAAGCATGACACCTCCCCATCACAAAAACTCTGAGGTAAGTTGTTTTAGCCATGTGCGCGTTTCCAGTTATGTTAAAATGTACCAACTTAAATTATAACAGCAGATATTGGGAATCTTACCTCTTAATGTACCATGTCCACCTTTCCAGGTATGATAAAATCTACTAACTTAAACTATAATAGCAGATATTGTGAGTCTAATCTCTTATTGTACAATGTCTGCATTTCCAGTTATATTTAAATGTACCAACTTAAATTTTAATATCAGATATTGTGAGTCTAATCATTATCATTCTACTTTGAGTGTTCCCTCAATAGCTTTTTGGTTTTTAGAGATTGACATTTTGATAGCCTGGTTGTTAAGTAAAGGAAGTGTGTAATTATGTTAACAGGCCTCTCAATTAAGCTTGACATGGCCAATGAATAAATAAATAAATAAATAAATAAATAAATAAATAAACAGTAGCTAGTTTCTGCTCACTGATATTTTGCTCAATCCTTGTCCACAATGTCTTTACTGCATTGAAGAGTATCTGCATACTCCAGATAGTCCTACTGCACCAGAAAAGAGACCTCTCAAAACAGAACCCTGAACATATAGTGCTAATTAAAGTATTTCAAATGCTCCATGTAAAAAGGCCTTAATTTGGAATAGAATATTCCTAATTTCCAATCAGAAGTGGTAATTTGCAATTTCGGACTGCAAGCAACCAGTTTTAGTCTTTAAAGTGCCTAATGCCCAATGATGCAGGTGGTCAAATCACATGTTGTTAGATTCAATTTCCTGAAATAATTAAGTTAAAAATAAAATAACTAATAATTTGTCTTCTATGATAGGAAACGTATAAGATGAAGCCATTTCAGCAGAACCAGAGAAGCACTAAACAGCATGCTGTTGTTTCTTTGATGCTGTTTGAGTAAAGAGGGGGGGGGGATCCTTAAAAGGGGTAAAACTTTTCAATTAGATTTTGTAATTCATTCTCAGTGTCTTTCTCCTCAGGCTGATAGTAGGCACATCATCTGTTTTTTGTTTCTACCTAGGTCATCTTTTTTTTTTTTTTTTTTTCAAAACGTTTCAAGACATTTGATTATTATTTTGCGTTAATGCTTGAAATATTTGACGCCTTATTGAAATCTGATTAAATGAACTTTCATGATTCTGGAACTATTTACCTTTTTTCTGAAATTTTATGAATTATTATTCAAATGTCATTTATTAAGGAGTAATGCAGAAGTTAATGCCAGATATAGGTGATCTCAGAGAAAGTTGGCATCATCTTGAATGCTTTAAGTAGAATTTCCAATTTTACATTTTCTAAAATGTGAAAGTAAGAATTATTTGCATCATGTATTCAGATGTCACTGCCTAGTCCATAATTATGTGCAAACTCTAATCTTCCTTTTGTCATTCCACAAAAAGTGAACATTTGTTTATTAAATGTTTTGAGATCCAATAATATGCATAATACGAAGAAAGTTACATTTCACAAGGAATCTTAATGACCCCTTTAAACCTTACCTTAGAGCAAATTGTGGCTGTCTTTATGAAAAAACCTTAAATTTGCTTTTAAAGGTGACAGTTAACTACTGTATCATGGTGTCAAAAAATATTGGCAATATTGCAAAGTTGACTAAATGATATTTACATTTATTGATTTTTAGCAGTCTGCAAATGCAAGCTTTAGCTCAAACACCTTTCAACTTTTTGCGAAATAGGCCCCAATGGAGCATGTTGGAACTGAAAGCTGTGGCAATGTGTACGTGAGTCCAGTCACACTGCCACAGTATTGTAACTAAATATCTAAATGGGTTAACTCCAGGGAATCGAAGACGTAAATGACTTTCTTTGAAACACACTTCAGAAGCTGTTGGTTTCTTCGAAATGCTATTACTGTCATTTGAACATTAAAAGCTGTTCCTGTCAATTAGCCTGTTGAATCAAACAGAAAGGCGACAAATTACTTCCATATTTCAATCACCTGTTTCAGATGTTTAATCCTTCTAGATTTGTAATAATTTTTAGCTGCTTGCAAAACCAATTTTTGGACTTGAACCCTTCCTTGCAGTCAACTTTTTTCACAGATTTGTCAAAACATTATATAATTTTATAGTACTAGTAGGTGACATGCATTAAAGGTATCAGTTATAATACCTTCAAGATGTATAAGCCTTGAGGTAATTTCCAGGATGTGCATGTACATGTATATGGCAAGATCTACACGCAAGGAATATTCTGCATTAAATTTTAACTCGGTAGAAAATCTTTGGAGAGGTGGGCCTATGCACGTCATTTGATACTTGCTGTAAACTGTTTTTTTTCCTAATGCTAACATTATGTTACTGTTTTATTAGCATGAATTAAGGCCATATTGAGGAAAATTATGAATTTTTGTAAAAATGATGTTTATTCTGGGCTTGTAAAAATACTTCGTACTTTCTGCTATTGTTGGAATAAGTTATCCATCTTTTTAACTATTATACTGTATAGTTCACTGTGTAGATAATAATTTTAATTATTTCCCTATATCACCCTATATACTGTGGATATGCCTTGGCCTTGGGTCATTCTCTCCTTGGGCTGAAAAACAACTTGTTTTTCTCAGTGCAGCCTAATTTTACTTGTGGTAATTGAACTACGGATGGCACCTTATTTTGATTGGGTCTGATAACAAGGGAAAAAAATGGACAGTATTTATCAATATGGCTGATTGTTATCCAAGTTATTATCACCATGGATGATAAACAGGTTGTGGTCGTGTTCACACCTGGTTTAACTTGAACAGGTATCAGTGTAAAAGGCATTAAAGGACATTAAAGACATTCATGTGATATATTTAGTGGAAATGTGCCTCAGAATCTTGGGTTTGCCTCTTATATAAGGGGATCAAACATTTGCATCATTGTTCTCTATCTCATCATACCATGTGGCAAATAACTCTAGGGGCCAGTTCCAAAAAAATAAAGGTATGTGCATATATATTGTGTATAGTCTCAAAATTGGCCTTAATTTTTGTCACAGAAATTTTGGTTTACACCAGTTCATGATGCATTCATATTATATTCAGATAAATATTTGTATTATAATAATCGTAATTTAAAGAAATATATTTCTATACAGTATTTGTGGTGCTTTTACTGCATACTAGTAGATAAGAGCCATAGCTTAGCATGTTATTTCATTTTGTGCTAACACTAAATAAGAATGTTCTAATTTCATTGAAGAAATTATGACTTAAAAAGTACAGTGTCTGAAGGTTTAAAATTCACAATTTTCCTGTATAATTGCAAAAATTCTAGTAATTACCGTACCTGTCTAAATTGTACTGTTTGTGAACATTACTTTTAGAATTTGACGGACTGGGGTTTGATCGAGATTACATACACAGCTGGAGATTACATGTCTTTTGTTCGTACATCAGTTGCTGGCAAGTTGTTTACCATAATACATAAGGGAGAGGTAAAATAAGGCAACCCTTTCCATTATCCAATGTATTATGTGACAAAGTGAAATGAAAATTCAATAGATGATATTTGTAGGGTGAAATTGCACTGAGAGTTCATGGTTCATTTGTAGAAAAATGAATGAAGATATTAATGATAAATAATAATGATAAATAAAAATGAAAATAAAACCCTATCTCCTTCAGGTTCAACTCAGTGCTCTTGTACAACATAGAGATTAAAATTTACAATTCTAAAACATTTTAATGAAACAAAAACAATGCTGGAGAGCAAGCTCTTGAATAAACAATAGAATTTTAAGTCAATATCTAGTCATCTAGCTTCAAAAGAAAGACCTATTGTCATGTGAAATTTACTCCATAGGTGATCTCTTTAAGGTTAAAGTTAATCTCGATGTGAACACTACCATTGCTGGTAGTGAAGATATATGTTGGGTCGGTGTGCAAAAAAATCAATTGTATTGTCCCCATCCAAACTGATGATCCGAGGCTAATCTTCAATTTCTGAAATAAATGATATTTTAGGATAAGGGCATTCTAATCATTCTTTACAGTATGGTCAAACAGCACCATTTTTTATAATCATTCACAAAATAATAGTCCATTGGCTATGCTTCTGAAAACAATTTTTCTTTGTGTGTGTGTGAGAGAGAGAGAGAGAGAGAGAAAGTAAAAATGATGACCCTTTAATCAAGGGCCTTGAACAAATAGATATTGGAAAAACCAGGTGTTTTACATTTATTTAAAAAATTAATTGAAATCCATCATTTTACTAGATTTGATATATATCTGTATAGATGTAACCTCGCTCTTTGTATTTTATGTAATCAATTGCAGTCTCCCCTTGGTGCCCTAGACATGGCTCAGACATGGATCAAAAATAAAACAGTCTACTGGCATCATTGTTGATTAGATTTTGATAAGATTGCATTATACAGGACTGTAGAAGCAACCTGTAGTTTGTTTGAATTTTTGTTTGTTTGATCAATGGGCAATTCACTGAAATTTATATTAACTGGGTGATCCAACTGATTATATTTGTCTGTCTGCTATTATGCCAGACAGATATTAAAAAGCAACCAGTGATTAGATAATTTGAACAAAGAATTATCTCCATTTATTGTTATCCCAGACATGAGCTTTTTCCACTGAATCACAGAATTCCCCTTTTTTACATGACCCCAGAGCAATAAAAACCCTAAAAAATTTATGAAAGGTGTTTGGTTCCACAATAAATGTTTATAGTTTTTTTTTCTAAAACCTGGGCTTAAATGCCTGTACCCTTTTGAGGTTCTGCATTACATTATATATATATATTTATAATTGAGATGCTTACTTTGAAATACGGGCTGTATGGTTTAGTTATTTAATTAACTTGGTATTATTGTACTGTCTCTCTTTCACTTTCATTTTTCTAAAAGAAAACATAGATAGATATTGTGATAATAAATAAATGGAAATGCGTAAAAAATTGACTTAACTGCAGAAGTTTCAAATATCCCATCATTTCATCATTTCATCATTATAATTACCATTTTAATCAAAGACTTCTAAGGGCAGACTTTCTTCTTTGT